GATATAACACGAGGATAGCTTTAAACACCAAGACAGAAGAACTTGCTGCGCAATCTCTGTGGAGAACATGTTGAAATGTCTTGACTGTTCACAGAGGGGTGACTGCCCTCTACAACTGGGAACAGGGCCCAGAATCCATTCATGACCCAGGGGAACTCAGTAAGGAAAAGGCATGTGTGTGTGTGTGGGGGGGGGTGGGCACATGGTCATGTGTGCCCGTATGCACCCACCTGCGCCGTGAGTTAGCCTCAGAAGGGCTGCCGGTACTGCTCTGCCTGTCCTAGTTCTGACACCCCACGTGCCAGGGCTCCATTGCCAGATTCTGCCCAATCCATCTCCCCAAGAGCATTTTTTTGTATGTGTTTGTGTGTGTCAGTTGTGGGGCTTGAACTCTGGACCTGGACACCGTCCTTGAGCTCTTCAGCTCAAGGCTAGTGTTCTACCACTTGAGCCACAGTGCCACTTCTCGTTTTATTGGAATTATATAAGAATCTCTGGGACTTTCCTTGCCCAGGCTGACTTTGAACCACGATCCTCATATCTCAGCCTCCTGAGTAGCTAGGATTACTACCATTGGCACCAAGCATAAGCATCTTTTAAATGCCTTCCTTTTCTAATCACAAAAGAGAGTAGAGTTTTTTTTTGCATTATATAATATACATAGGATTATATAGATATGGGGGGGGGTCTGGTCATGGGGCCTGAACTCGGCCTGGGCGCTGTGCCTCAGCTCTTCAGCTCAAGGCGAGTGCTCTACCACTTGAGCCACAGCACCACTTCCAGCTCTTTTCTTTTTGTTTATGTGGTGCTGAGGAATCCAACCCAGGGCCTCGTGCTTGCAAGGCAAGCAAGGCAAGTGCTCTACCACTGAGCCACCTTCCCAGCCCCAGATTATATAGATTTGTATTTATATATTATCCTTAAGTAGTTGTATAAAGGGATTTCAATTCAAGATGTGAGAATAGAGCTTAAAAGAATATGATGAGCCGGGTATTGGTAGCTCATGCCTATAATCCTACTCAGGAGACTGAGATTTGAGGATCACAGTTTGAAGTTAGCCTGGGCAGATAAATCCAAAGGACACTTAATCTCCAACCGCCCACCCAAATACTAAAAGTAGAGTTGTGGCTCAAGTAGTGGAGTGCCAGCCTTAAATGACTAGGCCAAGGATCAGAGGCCAGATGCTGAATTCAAACCGCAGTTTAGAGGGGATCTTCTTAGGCATTCCAGACTGACCTCTAACTTCAACCCTCCTGCCTCAGTTTCTCAGGTGCTGGCTTTATAGGTGAGCACCACAATGCCTGGCGGGAGGCGGGGGTGGGGGTGGGTCATGGGGCTTGAACTCAGAGCCTGGGTGCCGTCCCTGAGCTTTTTTGCACAAGGTTAGTGTTCTTCCACTTTGAGCCACAGCTCTACTTCCTACTTTTGGTGTTTTGTTTGTTTGTTTGTTTGTTTTTGACCACTTAATTGCAAAGGTTTGAAGTCTGGCTAACCATGCTGAAATATGGTTGGATGGAAAGGGGGTGCTAATAAAGTCTGGCCTCTGTAGCATTTCTCTCTTGGGGTATGGCACAGAGCTCCTCTGCCTTGGGAAGGTTCTGTGATCTAGGTAGGTGAGAGAATTATTTTAAGTCAACTAAAGGCTGAAAAAGATTTTTTTCCGTGTGTGTGTGTGTGTGTGTGTGTGTGTGTGTGTGTGTGTGTGTGTGTGTGTGTGTGTGTGTACTAGTCCTAGGGCTTGAAATGAGGGCCTGAGCACTGTCCCTGAGTTGTTTTTTTTTTGCTCAGGGCTAGCACTTTACCACTTGAGCCACACACACACAGCTCCATTTTGGACAGTTCTGGTGTTACATTGGAAATGAGTCTCAATAGACTTTCTTGCCCTGGCTGGTTTTGAACATCTTTTATCTTCTGATCTCTAAATAATTAGGATTACAGATGGGAGCCATCATTACCTGGCTTGCCTTCTACTTTTTTTTTTTTTTTTTGGGTCCAGTCATGGGGCCTGAACTCTGGGCCTGGGCACTGTCCCTCAGCTCTTCAACTCAAGGCTAGCGCTCTACCACTTGAGCCATAGCGCCACTTCTGGCTTTTTTCTTTTTGCTTATGTGGTGCTGAGGAATCGAACCCAGGGCCTCTGGCATGCAAGGCAAGCACTCTACCACTGAGCCACCTTTCCAGCCCTTGCCTTCTACTTTTATAATATACTTTAGAAAGTCACAAATGGTTACATAGTGCATTTCCATTCCCATCTCCCCACACTCAAGCACTGAAAACACCAACCTTCAGAGGGATGGGTCAGGAGGCTCAGCCTATGGAAAGCGGTAGTTAGATCTGACAGTCTAGGTAGACCAGTAGAGTGGGACCAGGAGGAGTAAGTGTGCTGGGCTACAAATCTCCATCCTAAAACATCTAGATGAACATGCAGCCCATACTCTGATAACGGTCCTAGGTCCTTCTTTTGAAGCTCATTGGATACCAGGTTCAACTGGGAAGGACAAAGATCTTTCCACAACCTGGCAGCCTGGAGACCTGGCCGTAAGGAGTGGTCCAGAATTACATCATTTAGTAACTCTACCTTATTAAACAAACAAAGCCCTCTAAGCCTTGCAGCTCCCAGTCAATCTTTTTTTACTGTTATTTTTGGTCAGTTGTGGGGCTTGAACTCTGGGCCTAGGCCCTGTCTCTGAGCCCTTCAGCTCAAGGCTAGTGCTCTAGCACCTTGAGCTTCAGCACCACTTCCAGTTTTCTGGTGTTTAACTAGAGGTTAGAGTCTCACGAACAGTGATCCTCAGATCTCAGCCTCCTGAGTAGATAGGATTACAGGTGTGAATTACCAGCAAATAGTTCCAGTCAATCTTTACCTGAATGGCTCACCTCACCCCTGTAGGTAAATTCCTGCTTTGCTAATACATAACCATTTGTTATATTACTACACTAGGGGCAGCGTTCCAATTTTAGGCACTATACTCAAGAGCCTAGGAATTTCTGGAACAGATACTCAGCTTTCAGCCTCTGAAGTAGCTAGGATTGATTACACACTTCCAGGCTGGTCTTCAACATGCTATTAAATGGTGGGATTACCGGCTTTCATTACCACTCCCAGCCTATTTTTCTGTGTGTGTTTTTTTTTTAAGTTTTGATTTTTCCAGAGGCTGGTAACTCATACTTACAATTCTAGCTTCGCAGGAGGCTGAGATCTGAGGATCACAGTTCACAGCCAGCCCAGATAAGAAAGTCAATGAGTCTCATCTACACACACACATACACACACACACAAGCTTGAAGCTGAGCTGTGACATAAATGGTAGAGTGTCAGCCTTGAGTTGATAAAACCCAGGCCCCGAGTTTCAAGCCCCAGTACCAACACAAAAGAAAAAAAATTTCAAGTTTCTGCTTTTATTGCAGTCAAGTAGTCAGTCTAGAGGTCGGTTTCTGAAATAGAAATGGACCTCCATTTCCATACTTTCCTCCCTAAACCCTCCAAACCAACCAACCAACCAACCAACCATCTCACCAATTTGGTAAGCAGGTCTCTGGTGAGCTGGTATCTGGCACCTCTCCATTCTGCCACACACTGTTTACGTGGTTTCCTTAGTACCCAGGAAATACTGTCAGTCTTCTAATTTTTTGTTGCTAAGGCCTGGAATGCTGGTCTCACTTTAATTTAGTTAATTATTTCCTCTGGGGGGCGGGGGAGTGCAAAACTAAACCAAACCAAAGCCCCCCTAGCCTCAGCCAGCAGAGGCCTCCATTTTAGCTTTAATCCTATTATGTATAATTTAGCTGGCAGATTTAATCTCTGTTGTGGCTCCCTCACAAGGCATGCCATCCAGTCTTATATATGTACTTGGCACTCAGAATAGATACCTCAAAACCTCAGTGCTTTGAGCACCTCCAGAGATGTGTCTGTGCCTGTCTGTCTGTCTGTCTGTCTCTGTCTTCCTGGGGCTTGAACTCTGGGCCTGGATGCCTTCCCTGAGCTTCTTGTACTCAAGGCAAGCACTCCACTACTGCCGCCACCTCCTGCTCTTTTTAATAGGTTATTGGGGATGCAGCTCCTGGGCTGGCTTCGAACCTGCGATGCTCCGATGTCAGCCCTCTGAGTAGCTAGGATTCCAGCCGGTGCGAACCACCGGCTCAAACGCACCGTTTGAGGATCATACATGTGGTCCCGGCCCAGTCGAGGTCCAAGTGGGCTGAGGACGAACCCGGAGGAGGGACGCTCCTTCCAGGAATGAATACGGCCGGGGGCAGACCCACGGTCCCGCTCACCGTCGCCCGACGTGGAACCTGCGTGATGGATCCTAGTTTGCTGGTCCTGGGGCTTGAACTCAGGGACTGGGCTGTCTGAGGTCTCCTCCACCCCTCCCGCACCCCACTGCAGGGGTATCTCTAATCTCGGGGCTCCACTCGCGGAGCCCAGCCTGGGCTGGCTGGGAACTGCGATCCGCGCGTCTCAGCCTCGGGAGAAGCCGGGATGACAGGCGCGCGCCGCCGTCGCGGTTCTCCGGCCCAGGCCACCCACACTTCCGGGCCTCCGCGGGACCCCGGACGGGGTCCTGTGACTCCCACCCCACCCCCACCCCCTGACCCCAAGGGAAGGGGAAGTCAAGCCACACTTGCGTAACGGCCTAGGGTGCGACCTCTCCGGCGGGCATCCCCCGGGGGCGGGCGGGCCGCCCCCCCCCCCCGCCCGAGTCACCCCACCCTCCGTCCCCGTCCCGGAAAGCGACCGGAGCCCCCAGCTCGTCCGCGGGGCGCTCGCGGGGCGCCGGCCGCCCGCTTTGTGACTTCACCGGTTTCGCAACAAGCCCCCGAGGCCGCGCGCGCCCCACCCACCCCGGGCCGGCCGCTCCGCCGCCCGCCGCCTCGCTGGGCTCCGCGCGCTGCCCCTCCGTCGGGGGGCCTGGGCCCGCCCCGGCCGCCGCCGCCGCGCCCCCGTGCCGTCCGCGCCCGCCGCGCCCCCGCGCGCCCCGGCTCCCAGCGCCGCGCCGCGCCCCGGGCCGCCGCCTCCAGGCAGCCCTCCTCCGGCCGGCCGGCGTCCCGCGGCCGCGGCGCGATGCTGTGCTTCCTGAAGGGCATGGCCTTCGTCCCCTTCCTCCTGGTGACCTGGTCGTCGGCCGCCTTCATTATCTCCTACGTAGTGGCCGTGCTCTCCGGGCACGTCAACCCCTTCCTCCCTTACATCAGGTGAGAGGGGAGGAGGTGGGGGAAGGGAGGCGGAGCCGGGGAAGTCGAGGCCAGGGTCAGAGTCGGACTGAGGTCCTGACCCCGGAGAGCGAGGGGGGGGGGGAACCCCTGAGAGGTTGGGTGGCAAACGCAGCAGGTAGAATTCGCACCCAAGATCCCACCTCCAGGTCCCTTGGAGTTTGGCTGAAGTTCCCCCCGCGCGCTGGGCCCGAGCTGCCCAACACTTCCCGAGGGCGGCGCCTCTGGGACCAGAGCTCTCCCAAGTTTGCAGCTTGTGAAATCTCTGCCAGTCCTGGGGCTGGAACTCAGGGCCTGGGCTCGGTCCCTGAGCTGCTTGCTCAAGGCTAGCACCTCCACCACTAGAGCCACAGCACCACTTCTGGCTTTTTCTGTGTATGTGGTGCTGAGGAATCGAACCCAGGGCTTCATGCATCAAGGCAAGCACTCTACCACGGAGCCCACCTTCCCAGCCCATGACATCTCTTTCCTTATTTTACCACTTGATCTCTCCCACCCCCTTCCTCCGTGTCTCTGTCTCCAGCCTTTCCCGAGGTGGTGCCTTTCCTAGAGCCAGAGACCGTGGTGTGATATTAGTGCACAGATTACAGTTCCAAGCCTTGCAAGATGCATCCATTAACCCTCACGAGGGTCCTGCCCTCTTTTCCCTCCCCCTCCCTCCTCCGCTCTTCCTCCCCCCTTTCCTTTCTCTTTCCCTTTCCTTTTCTCTCCATTCCCTTTCTCTTATTTTCTGAGACTAGCCCTGCCGTGAATCCCAGGCTGGCCTCCAACTCAAGATCTTCCTCAGCCTGCACTGGTTGAGATTACAGTGTGCAGCCACCACAGCTGGCCTGACCCACCCATCTCTAACCAATGGGATTCCCTCTCCTCTGCCTTGGTTACTGAGAGGACGCTGAGATCAGTGACAGCCAAGATGTGTAACCAGTTGGAGGCAGAGATTAATTGTAAGACCTCTCCTTCACCAAACCTATTCAATTGTGGCTCTGTCCTGGGCTCGCTGGTGACTCACCCTAGCTACACCAGAGGCCGAGAGCTGAGGATCATGTTTCAAAGCCAGTCTCAGACACTTATCTCCTATTAACTAGCAAAAAGTCAGAAGTGGAGCTGTGGCACACGCACTTGCACACACACACGTAATACACAACACAAGAGAAGTATAAAGCTGCAAGGAAGAAAGCAATGGATAGAGAACAGGATACAGTAGCCAATCTGTAGTGGAAGTGGTGGTTTTATCCATGCGGGAAGAAATGTTCTGTACATAGAGGAAGACCTTGCCAGCTGGTCTCCTGTCCCCCCAAAAATCCTGGCCTTGATTTTTCATGACTCGTTTTATTCCCATGGTCCACCATTTCCCATCTCCTCCCTCCGCCCCTCTCCTTAAGCTCAAGGCTAGCCACAGTGCCACTTTGACTTTTCCTGTGATTGGTCTGATTCCCAGATCTCAGCCTCCTGAGTAGCTAGGATTACAGGTGGGAGCCTCCAGTGCCTGGCTACCTCCCCTCATTTCTGGAACAGGATAGTTCCTCTGTGATGTGAGTCAAAGAGCTGGTCTTCCCTAAAGTCCTTGACATGGAGAAAATAACAACTGTATGTCTTAAAGGGAAGGGTCTGAGGCAGAAGTGTGATGGGTATTAATCAGCCCAAGGGAGGTGAAGTTTCAGTCTTTGTAGTATCCTGAGGTGGTTGGTGATGAACTGTGTTCCAACGTGAACAGGAAACAGGAGACAGTCAAATGGGAAATGAGCAGACACGGTGAACCGCCCAGGAATGAGCTAAACATTGAACAAATCTTCAGGAATAGCTGAACTCCCTAAGAGAAAAAGTCAGTAGGTGGGGTCCCTTATCATCTGGAGCCATAAGCCAACTACAAACATGATCGCCTGGGGGGTTCTGATGGGTTTCTTGGCTTCTGGGAGAAGTTTGTAGCTCTGGATTATCTCAACATCTTTGGAGCAAGGAAGATGCAGGAAGCAGACACGCTGCAGCTATGTAGGGTCCAAAGATGTAGCTTAATGGTAAGGCATTTGCCTGACGTGTGCAAGGCCCTGGGTTCAACTGTGAGAAATGGAAGGATGTCAATGCCAGATTCACTCAGCAGACCAGGAACCGTTCACCTTTGTTTGTTTTTGTCAGTGGTGGGGCAAGAACTCTGGGCCTGGGTGTTGTTCCTGAGCTCTTCAGCTCAAGGCTAGCACTATACCACTTGAGCCACAGTGCCACTTCCAGCTTTTCCTGAGATCAAAGAGTCTCATGGACTTTTCCTGCCGTGGCTGGCTTTGAACTGTGATCCTTGGCTCTCAGCCTCCTGAGTAACTAGGATTACAGGCATGAGCCACTGGAGCTTGGACTATCTCCAGATTTTTTTCTCTTGTTCTTTGTTCAAATATCAACTTGGTGAGAATTGTCCTGATCACCTGGTTTTTAAATTCCTGGTTCCTCATATCCAGTCTAACTGTTCACCAGAGCACCTGTCTCCTTCTAGCAAATTTAAAAATGCAAGTTCTCCAAAGATTTTATGAGTTGAAAAATGTTCTGTTTATTCCAGATGAGAGCCTGTCTCTTCTTAGTGGGGCTGGTGAGTGATTTGGACTCCTCAGAGTGAACCCACTTCATTTGTTAGCATTGTTCAGCAATTTTGATAACATGATGTTTTCAGCACACTTACACAGTATTGTCAGAATTCATAAAGAGGAGGGACTCTTTCCAAGAACAACATTGTTTTCTTTTTTGCCAGTCTTGAGGCTTGAACTCAAGGTTTGGGCATTGTCCTGAGCTTCTTTTTCTCAAGGCTAGCACTCTACCACTTGAGCCACAGCGCCACTTCAGACTTTTTCAGTTTATGTGGTGCTGAGGAATTGAATCCAGGTCTTCATGCATGTTAGGCAAGCACTTTACCACTAAGCCACATTCCCAGCCCAAGTTTTCTTATTAGATGTGTTGTCTTTGTAGCTTTAGGCAAATGGCTCTCAGACCTATGGAAAAGTGCTCAGCTTCATGAATAGAAATAAAAATTGAAATTGCAACTCAACTCACTAGGTGCTCTTTTTTACCTACTGTATTAGCAGAAAACAAATTGTTTGATAACAGTACTGGTGAAATTTGGGCGAAACAGGCTCTTTCCTGCATTACTAATGTAGAGATAAATTGATTTCAGTATCTATATAAATACTGGCAAAAATCTATGACAATTACAAGCTTTTAAAATTTTTAAACTTTTCTTCTGAACTTCAAAGGGTTCTGTAAGGAGGTTACAATCGAGCATGCCCATCTAAGTGTCTAGGGTTACCTGTTCGAAGCCACCCTTCCCTCCCTAATCTTGGGTGGCCCTTCCCTCCCCCCCAGCTCATTTCACATCTCCTACTTTCTTGGTCATGTTTGTACATTGAGTATTCGGGCTGTATTTATTCCATTTCCTTTTTCATTCATTTCTTTCCCTCCCACTACTGAACGCTTACAATCTCAAACTCAGTTATTGATTTTATAAACTTTTATTGTTTAAAAGGCTTACTCTGTGGAGATTCACTCTTGCATATACTTTATATGAGTGAACTAATCGTGTATATAAGCATCTTGCTTCTGTGATCATATAGTAGGTTGTGTTTTGGGACTAAGATTCACATGTGGTAGAAAACACGCATCTTTTGTCTTTCTGGATCTGTCTTACTTCATTCAATGTGATATTTTCCAGATCCATCCATTTCCCAGCAAATTACCTAATTTCATGATCCATTCATCTGTTGTGGGGCATCTGGGTTGTTTTCATAACTTGGCTATTTTGAACTGTGCTGTGATCAACAAGGGTATGCAGATATGTTTGCTGTATCCTGACATTTAGTCTTTCAGATAAATGCCTAAGTATGCTATCACTAGATCTACCCTGGAGTGCTAACACTAGATCACATGTTTAGTTTTTTGAAGAATCGCCATACTGATTTCCATAGTGTTTGCACTAGTTTACATTTTCACCCTGCAACTTTGTCTTTTGTCTGTTTATATTCTTGATGATGACCATTCTTAACCTGAATGAGAAAAAAAAGTCTCAGTGTTGTTTCGATTTGCGTTTCCTTTATAGCTAGAGATGTTGAGTATTTCTTCATGGATTTATTTGCAATATGTACATCATGAAGTGTATGTTTAACTCTTTGTTCAGTTATTAATTGGGTTGTTGATTTTTTTTAAGCTCCTTGTATATTCTGGTTTTTAGACTGTTTTCTGATGTGTAGCTGGCAAAGACTTCTCATTCTGTAGGTTGTTTTCTTGGTGTAGTAACTATGTCCTTTGCCTTGCAGATGGTTTTTTAGCTTGGTACAATCTCAAGTCTTTCTTTTATTTGCTGTGACCCTGGCGTGCTATACAGGAAGTTTTGCCTGTGCTGCTGAGTTCTGGGATTACCCCTACTCCTCCCTATCGTAGTCTAAGATTTCAGGTCTTATGTTGCGGTCTTTGATCCACTTTGAATTGGTATTAGCACAAGATGACAGACAGGGATCCAGTTTCAGTCTTAGGCATATGGATGTCCAGTTGTGTATTCAGCATACACTTTTGATTAATTTGTCAAATATTAGGTGGCTCTAAGAATGTAGGTTTATTTCTGGGTCTTCTGGTCTGTTCCATTGGTCTTCAGGTCTGTTTTTATGCCATTATCAAACTGATTTTTTTTTTTTTTTTTGGTCAGTCGTGGGGCCTGAACTCTGGGCCTGGACGCTGTCCCTCAGCTTTTCAGCTCAAGGCTAGCGCTCTACCACTTGAGCCACAGTGCCACTTCTGGCCTTTTCTGTTTATGTGGTACTGAGGAATTGAACTCAGGGCCTCATGCATGCGAGGCAAGCACTGTACCATTGAGCCACCTTCCTAGCCCCCCAAACTGATTTTATTCCTAGGGCTCTGTGGTAAACTTTGTAGTCTGGATTTGTGATTCCTCTGCTTTAGCTATTCTGGGTATTTGGTCATTTAATATGAATTTTGGATTATTCTCTCTCTCT